TAAATGCATAAAACTAGTCTAGGAAAAATAATAAGGAATAACAAAGAATATTTTGAACTCAGGAGTTCACACTCCATCCATAAGGGAATCACACATTTACCTCCTAGATGTTGCCAGTAATAGGAACATGGGCCCATTATGGCCAAATCCAGTTTGTGATCCTGAAGCTCGAGTTTTTTTTATGTGTAAGCTCAATTTCTTAAAATATTATCAGTTAATCCAACTTCTCGAAACTATAAAATCCAAGCAAAATATGTCCATGGGTTCTAGGGGCCTTGTAGGCTCCCATTAAGTGACCTCTGCTCTATAGTTTTAGCATTAAGCATGATGTTGGCTGTTTGTGACAGACATTCATTAGGGTCAAAGAAGTTTCTGAAGATGCAATATTAAATGTCTCTGTGACAGTTCACAAAACAGAAAGTTGAGAGATAACTGTGAAGTCAGGGTACCCAAGGGGGTACACATCAGAAATGGGTAAGAAGGTAGCCAAGAGACTCCACCCCAGCAGAGTACATGTAGTTAGCTGTGCATCGTAAAACTTTCCCAACAAATTGCTTTTTCACAAAACTCTTTGTGGATTTACTTTTGCATAGTTTCCCATAATCTCTGGAATTCTGAATATGTTAGATGCAGAATGTAAATTTCTCTGAGTCATTAAACCAGAAAAACAATGAATAGTGAAAGGTACATCCAGCTACAAGGAAAATTATAAAATCTCAGTATGTTCATTTTCTCCAACAAAGCAAAACCAATTTATTGGCACCATATTAACAGTGTGAAGGAGAGTGCCTTTGAAGCATTTCTAATTAAGAAGGTATAAAAATGAAAATTAATCATATAATTCATGCATTATTAATTTAAGGCTTTATCTTCTTTGTATGGTGCACTGGGGTTATTTTTATTTTAGTAATTCTAAAAATTGCTTATAGGACTATACTCAGCTTATCCAAGATCTTTCTTTAACTACAAAATATCCTGCCCCAACATTTTAGAAAAATGATCTTCATAATTGAGGAGACGATGTTATAGTGATCATTTTGATAAAAATTGTTGAATAAATGACATTCATTCATTCATGAACACCTGCACCTGTAAAATATAAATCTTGAACATTAACTCTAGCCTTTATTTTACATAGCACTGACTTTAATGCCCAATATTATCCTGAACCCTAATCCTAACATTGATAGAAACCTTATCCTGAATAACGAATGTAAAAAGTCCCAATCCCCATCCTAATCTTAATTCACACAAGGCTTAACAACCTCTAAGTCCCAAGAGAAAGCAGAACATGGGGTAAATAGTAGAGAATACAAGGCTGTGTCAGGAAAAGGAAAGAGAAATCTACAGGCTAGACTGGAGTACAGCCTCTGGTGCTGCCCTGACCTGGCTCTCCCCATTTTCACCAGCACCACCCTCAACCAAATCCTGAGCCAAATCCCAACATCACTCAAACTGCAATTGGGACGTGGTTCTTGGTGCCTCCATCTGACAATCCAAAGCTTCCTGGTACTGTTTGGAAATGTAAATGAAACAATGAGTGTGAAAATTCCTTCCACACCCTTGGCACAGCCACTCAGCGCATTACATATCCTAAAATATGTTTAAACAGGCAGATCACAATGCAGAAACTCAACCAGTCCACCGTGACAGAGTTCATCCTGCTGGGCTTTGCCCCTAGCCTCGGGACCAATCCTCTGCTCTTCACCTTTTTTCTGGTCTTTTACCTGCTGATCCTCATAAGCAACAGCCTCCTCATAACCCTCATCCACCAGGACTCGCGCCTGCACACGCCCATGTACTTCTTCATCAGCATCCTCTCCATGCTGGATATTTGCTACACCACCACCACCGTGCCCCAGATGCTCACGCATATTCTCAGCAAGAAGAGGGCCATCTCTTTTGCTAGATGTGTGGCCCAGATGTACATCTTCCTCCTCTTTGGGGTCACCGAGTCCTGGCTTTTCTCCATCATGTCCGTGGACAGGTACATGGCTATCTGCCACGCTCTCAGGTACAAGGTCATCATGAGCCACTGGGTGTGTCTCCTCATGGTGGGTATCTGCGCAGCCTATGGAGTGCTGGGAAGCCTGTGCTATACTTTCTTTGCTATGCGCCTGCCCTATTGCGGACCCAATGAAATTGACCACTACTTCTGCGAGGTCCCTGCAGTTCTGAAGCTGGCCTGTGCAGACACATCCTTCAATGACTTGGTGGACTTCATCATAGGCTTCAATGTCATCGTGGTCCCACTCTCCCTGGTTGTCCTTGTCTATGCCAACATCTTTGCCACCATCATGAAGATCTGCTCAGTCCAGGGGCGGATCAAGGCCTTTTCCACCTGTGCTTCCCACATCACGGTGGTTACCATGTTTGCCATTCCGTGCATCATCATGTACATGGGCCCTGGCTCTAGCTCCTTATCAAACAGTGGCAAGAGAATGGCCCTTTTCTATAACATTGCCACAGCCTTCCTCAACCCCGTCATCTATAGTCTAAGGAACAAGGATGTGAAAAAGGCCTTTCTCAAATTGATTGGGTGGAGCAGGGCTCCAGAGTAAGGTTTTAAAGCTAAAGACCTGGGGAGCTGAACGAAGCAAGACTTCCAATCAACAACTCCTAGAGGACTCTTCCACGAGACCTAGAAGAGCTGGACTCTATAAAGATATGGTAACTATTCACCCTTGCCCAGGTGGGAGAGGAAAAGGGTGCTCAGACATCTGTAGTATCTATGGTGATGCTGTTTGAGACAGAGACAATTGTGAAGGTAGAGTGCAGTGCTTAAGATCCTGGACTTTAGTGCCAGACAGACCAGGATTAGAGGCTCATTTTACTGCTTAGTAAGTACGTGAATTTTTGCAAGTCATTTAACTACTCTAGGTGTGTAATTCTTTCTTACACGGAAGTCATAATGATTAAATGAGCCAGTATATAAATATATGCTTAGTACAGAGTCTGGCATATATTAACCTTTCAACAAATGTTAGTTTTAATTTTTTAAATTTATTACTGAGGGATGAACCATCAATCAATCATCAGCCATGATCCTCCTGGGCTGTGGAAGCAACTGGAGCTCTAGAGAGTAAAGGAGAAAGAGGGGAAAGTGGAAGAAGTAGAACTCAAAAACTGAAAAGTGGAGAATCTTAGGGTGAGAAAGAAATTTGAGAAGGAGGAAATGAGCCTGTATCTACTCACCTACAAACTGTGCCAGTTATAGCATCTGAGGTTGATTGAAATTATCCTGGGGGGAGGGCTGTTTTCTAACAGTGTTTTGTTTCTATGCTTTTGAAAAAATTTTTTATACCTCTTGATTTTCCTTCTACCCTTGTTTTTAATAAAGTAAGTCTGTTTTGGAACACTATAGCCTGTTTTGGATGATTTCAAGGAAAAGGGACCTTGTCCACCTAAGAATGAGCAAAATGAGGAAAATCAGAAGGGGAAGAGTAGGCATAGTGTTACCCCCAGATGCAAAACTTAAGGAGTCTGAGACAGGTAAAATCTCAATGGGAAGGTTTAGCTCTATTTTCTCTTGCTTATTAATAGAAGGGCCTCCCCCCACCAAACTCTGATTATTCCTGATAGAATCTCTACAAACTCCATAACAAGCCAGGGTCCATGCCAAGGGTATGAGTTCCAAATGTTCTCAAAAGTATTTCCCTACCCAAATACCCAGGAGCCACAGTGTTGCATAAATAATAAAGCAAAATTAAAAGGTGGGTGACAAAACAGGACGTATAATTGCAACATACTTACAGGCATATTGTTAACATCATTAACATATAAAAAGCTCTTTCCAATTGGTAAGAAAAATAAAAAGACTTCAGAAAATTGGCAACAGATATGAATAGTTCATCAAAAAAGAAATCCAAATAATTAATAAGTATACAGGAAAATCCTGCCATAGTAGGCATCAAGAAATGCAAATTAAAATATCATTGTCCCTTTTTCACCTTAGAAATTGCCAAAGAGTTTTTAAACAGAAGTGTCAGAGGCAACCAGAATACACTGAAAAATGGACCTTTTATAGATTATTAGCGGGAAAATAAATGGATTTTTTTGCAAAATGAATTGGCTTTATGTATGAAGAACATTAAATATTTTCATGCCATTCAATCCAATATTTCTACTTTTAGGATAACTTTGGAAATAAGATATCAGAAGCTTGGGAAAAGTAACACAATGATTTTTATTGTGTTACTTATGATAAGGAAAAATTGGAACCAATTGAAAACACTTCTATAATAGTGAGTCATTTAAATATATTATGATATGGCCATATAATGGTATACTATGTAGACATTGAAAATGTATTTTATGAGAATATTTGATAATGTAAATTCTCACAACTTGATTTTAAGTGAATAAAATCAGGAAACAGCTGGTGAGTAGCAGGGTTTGATCACATCGTTAACAGTTGTAAATACCTCTTCACCCTTGAATTCGGACATCAAAGTTTATAGGAGGAGGAGGGAGCCACTCAGTTAACACTTCTCTGCCGACACATATGTACATATTCCCTCCATCTATGAACCTTAGTTAATAATAATGGTTGGATATTGCTACATCAATTAGAAGAAACTTACCATACTTGTGCAAGATGTTAATAATGGGGAAACTATGTGTGAGAAGAGGGAAAAGAGATATATTGGAATTCTGTACTTTCTGTGCAGTTTTTCTGCAAACCTAATGCTGCTCTAAAAATAATAATTAATTAATTGAAAGGAGATCAAATGAAAATGCTAGAAAGGGAAAGCATGATATCAGAAGTGAATAATTTATTTTATTGGCTTATCAGAAGACTACAGCAGAGGAAAGAATCAATGCACTTCAAGACAGGTCAACAAAAATTATCCACTGATACGCTAGGAGGAATAAAGGGTGGACAAAGAGAACAGAACGTCCAAGATATATGGGACAATCCAATGGTCTAACGTGTAACTGGGGTCAGAGAAGGAAAAGTGAGAAAAAACAGGTTGGAAAAAAATATTTGAAGAAGTGAAAACCAGGAATGTTCCAAAATTAATAAAATAATAAAACCACAGATCCAAGAAGCTCAGAGAACCTTAAGCAGAAGAAACAGATGAAAAACACACTGAGGTGCATTATGGTCAAAATGGTGAAAACCTCAGGTAAAAAGGTATCTTGATTGTAGTCAAAGAAAAAAAGAAACATTATCTACAGAGCAGTGAAGAATGACAGCAGATAGCTCTTCAAAATTATGTAAGCCAGAAGACAATAGAGCTTCATCTTTAAAGTGATGTAAAAGAGAAAAACAAAAACAAAGCTCCAAACCTTGGTAATCTAGAATTCTATACACAACAAAAATATCTTTCAAAAATGAAGGTAAAATAACTTTTTCAGAAAAAAAACAAATTAGCTTTTCTGTCAGCAGAATTGCACTACGAGAAATGTTATAGGAAGTAGAAGGCATATATATGACACAACATGGAAGTCTGGATCTGCACAATAAATGAAGATCCTCAGAAATATAAAATACTTCCTATTTTTAATCTTTCAGATGAAACTAAGGGATTGACTGAAGCAAAAATTGTAACAATGTATTGTATAGTATGTAGAAGTAAAATCTATGACCCAATGCATGACAGAAGATAGGAAGAAAAAAATAAAAATATACTGTGTAAGAATCTTACTCTATACACTAAGTGTTATGACATTATTTGAGGGAGACTGTGATGAACTGAAGGTGTACATTGTAAACCTTAGCACAACCACTAAAAGAAAAAAGGTTTGGTTAATACTGGAGATAAAATGGAGTCATAAAAATGCTCAACATAAAAGTATGCAGAATTGCTTCTCAGCTTTTTGGCTAAGATCAAGTGTAACAGGAGGCAAAAAAGAGGCAATAAAGGAAAGAGAACCGTTGAGACAAATAGAAAATAATTAGCAAGATGGTGAATTTAAACCAAAGTACATCAATAATAGCACTATAGGAAAATGAACCAAACATTCCAATTAAAGGCAGAAATTGTTAGATTGGAGTTTTTTAAAAAATAAGGTATCTAAAATAAATCCACTTAAAACATAACTGGCTAAATAACAGTCAAGCTGAAATTCAAATAAAAAACACAATACCTTTTACAATAGCTTCAAAGAAAATTAAATATCTAGGAATATATTTAAGAAAAGATGTGAGAGACATATAGAGGGAGAACTATGAAACACTAAGAAAAGAAATTGTAGAAGATGTAAACAGATGGAAAAACCTACCTCGCTCACAGATTGGTAGAATCAATATCGTTAAAATGTCCATACTACCTAAAGTGATCTACAGAATTAATCCAATCCGTATCAAAGTTCCATCATCATTCCTTAAAGAACTAGAAAAAATAATTCTACATTTTGTATGGAACCAGAAAAGACCTTGTATAGCCAAAGCAATCTTAAGTAAAAAGAGCAAACCGGGACCTATCAGTCTACCGGACTTCAAGCTGTACTACAAGCTATAGTAACCAAAACAGCATGGTACTGGCAGAAGAACAGAGACATAGGCCTCTGGAACAGGACTGAGAATCCAGAGATGAAACCATCCGCATATGGTAATCTAATCTTTGACAAAGCAGACAAAAATATACACTGGGGAAAAGAATCTCTTTTCAATAAATGGTGCTGGGAAAACTGGATAGCTACATGTAGAAGAATGAAACTGGATCCCCACCTCTC